ACAACAACAACAACAACAAGAACAGCAAGTAAATCAAGAGCAATTAAGTTACGATGAGATTATACTAGAAAGTGAGCATCCTGTCCTGTATAATCTAATAAAAGAAAAGTTCTGTTGACGTGTGATGAGGTCTCGACAAAGCAACTATGAATATGTTCACATAATATTGACAATAGCAACAAAGTATACTTTATTTATTTCTACATATTCTTGTAATTTATATTACGTGCATAAATAATTAAATTCGTATCTTTCATATAATTCTTGCTGGTGACATCGCTATTATCATTACTGAATTGAATAAATCATTTCCAATTAGTTGCTGTTTCTTTCCTGTTAGTAAAAAACTGATTGAAATTCAGATATCATATAAAATTTAAAGAGAGGATACGTGTAGTAATCGATGCTGATCGATATGTATTGGTAATTGACAACTTTTACTAAATATTTAAACATGGAAATCAATTGCTTCATGAACAAAATGAAATTTTAAGAAGAAAAAGAAGATAGACTGACAAGTAGTACTTATTTTTAAGAAGAGTTCCTGTTTTATTTGTAATATATATTTACTTTGTTACTTGTTTGTTATGAATAAATATTTATTTTTATTTTAGTTAGGTAAAAATAATTGAAATAATTTCGTTTTTTGATTCAATTAATAAAACATTGAAATCTTTGGTAGATAAACGTTTTATTTTTACAAAATATATAACAAAAAAAAAGAACATTGCTAAAATATTTCTTTATAATACCTTATTAATTTTGGTCTATACTCTACCTTGGAATAAGTCATGGAATCACGTTACGTTCGAATTAAATCAACAATTTTACGAAAGTAGAATTAAATTTTACAGCAATTTTAAAATATATACCCAAAAAACTAATCGATTTTAAACAGTTATAAAATATTTAGATTACCTATGTTTTATGACTTTTATAATGGAGTATATTTTGTTAAAATTTTGGTATCAATTGGTTGTCATGTTGTTTTAAACTTCTTGACGTTTTGAGAGACATATATCATTCTGACCTTCAAAAGAAACAGTTCCAGATCTTTTCTGAAGAAGAGAGCGATATGACTCTCGAAGCATTGGGAAGCCTAAACCGACAACATGGCAATCAGCTTAGAAATTGTCCAACCATAATTTATCGACTTTCCATAGTCAGTTTTCAGTTATACACTAATATAGTATATTATTTGTTATTAAAAAAAATATGGATTGTGATATACTCTATCTTATATGAATTCCTTCCCTATCGTCTCTTTCATAATGTCGATTCTGATTATTTTGATTTGGAGGCACAAATTTGGATCAATTTTTGTGTCCCATCAATTATTCCTATAACCTCTGGAAATTCATATTGGGTAAAATATTGTTCGATTACAACTGCCTCATTATCTCGGCCATTATCTATAATTTGTGGAGACAAGTTACTTAGCAAGTATGTGACTTTTCTGGTTGTTGTAGAGTTTAAAGGCAATGCAAAATTTACCAGAATCATGGGTGAAATAATTAGAAATGGCAAATTTTTCTTCAATTCTATATACTGCTATACTTCCCTGATGCTAACACGGAAATGTTAAAAAAAACTTGGCCACTATATTCAGGTACAGTAATTTCAAAGTAGTTCTTATTTTTTACTCTTTCGGTTTCTTAGAATAAATCTATTTCATCATCACTCAAGCTGGACAATGCGTCTAATATCTGAATCACTGGACTCAAAATCGGACATCTGTAATATTTTAAAAAGTTTATTTAAAACACCGAGTTTTTTATATTCTATTTTTTATTACAAGTAAAAATTCCATATTAATAATATGTACAAGAATTACCATTTTTTTAAAGGGAACTTCCTGTATAAAATGTGACTATTCTTTTACTTACATTAAACTAAAATCGTTAACAAAGTAATTATCAAAAACACAATCCTTACTTACTTATAGTTAGATATGTGCTTTCTAGGTTAATAATAACTCACGTCATAAATTCCTTGAAAACTAGTTTCTTTCCATGAAACCAAATTCTCCTCATAAAGCTAATATTTTTTATTATCTCATTAGTTTAATTACAGTCCGGAATGACATATTTTCATGATTTATATTATTCAAAGTAGCTAACATTATTTATTTTAAAATTTTTAACACATCACAAAAATGACATGATTGATTTATATTTCAAATTGCCGCTTTTTTATCTCCCCTCTCTACATATGGGACATATAGAACATTAGCGCCCTCTTATTTTTGTAGGATTTTTGTTTACATGGAGTTCGGGCTCCTTGTAGTCCTTGTGTAGTTTCCATGATCATGATCATGGAGACTAGCTCCATGATCATGATGATAGAATATTGTCAAATAGTCAATTGTCCATAATTTTAAAATGTCACTATTATGGTTTAAGTATTAAAGTATAATAAGTATACTATATATCAATAAAAATGGAAGATACCAAATCTTTATTGATAATGGTTCTTCAGAAAATATTTCACAGTCGTTTAAATATAGTTGAAGATACTTATCAATTAATTTACAATTATAACAATGGAAAAAAAGAAAAAAAGGAGTATGAAAGGGTTAATTTTGAAGGTAAACCTTTAATTAGGTATTTGTTCATATAAATAATAATTTTTAGACGCTTAAAAATATTTGTGATTTAATGAATGAAGAATTGCCCTCGGACATTTTAGTGTATTTGTTAACTTTAGTGGATATGCCAAATGAAGATGGCATTCAGTTGCCAATAATGGAAAAAATTCAGAAAACTTATTGTTGCTTAGCAGAAAGGTAAACTTGTTGAGGATTTATATATATATACAGGGATGGCCAGAAGTACGGAATAAAATTCATATCTTTTAAATGAGTTAATTTTGTTTAAAACGCCGAAATACAACTGATTTTGATTTTTTCCCATCTTTCAGTTATAAAATAATTAATTTTTCTTCAACCCCCTAACCCCCAGCTACACCTACTTTTTTTTCAAATGGAAACATAGGGCATGAGGGGGCTCGTTGAAAAGCTTATAGAAAACCGAATCCAGCCATACCAAATAAACAAGTTTTATTTTTTCAATAACAAGTTTTTTTTCATTTAGAAATTGAAACAACTAGATAATTTACAAAAATAAACTCAATGAAAATGTCTCCCATTTACTATTTGGCATTCTTCAAGACGATAGTAAAAGCTGTCCTAAGCATTCTGAATGACTTCAGCTGGTAAATTATGCACCTCCGCCCTAATCTTGTTCTTTAAATTCTCAATATTATCCGGTCTGTCCTGGTAGACTCTTTCTTTCAAATATCCCCAAAGAAAATAATCCAGCCCACTAAACATTTTTCAGTTTCCGACATGTTTCAGAAACGTTTCCATTTTTCTTGAAACGTTTCCTAAAAAATTCATGCAACGTTCTGGTAACGTTCTAGAAATCCAAGATGTCCTCCCCAAAAGTTACAATTTCTTCTACGCATAGTCAATTTTACATCTATCCTTTTAATAATAATAATAAATTATACAGTAGAAATAAGGATACAAAATGATATCTTGACAAAATAAATATCTGTAGGTATACCTAAACTCTTTTATTTAAGCATGCCTATACACATAAACAAATATAAACATTTGTACAAAATATAAAATAAATGAAGTCAATTTCACTTGATTCATCCATATTTCAAATAGTTCTCACTGACTAAGTAGTTGCTCATCAAATTATATCGAAACGTATAGTCCATATTCCATTTTCTTAGTTCTTGTCCCTTGTCCTCGTCTATAATAGGTAGTGGGTATAACTATGTTTAGGTAGATGTGTCGCAAAATTGGAAATCTCTTTACACATATCGTTTTAAACATATTGCATTAATATTCATTATTTTATATGCACCTTACAATAACCACAACTGCACACACTACAAATTATCAAAGTAAAGATGGAGAACAACGAATCAAGGCAAACTGGCAAACCGCAAACCTAACCTAACATAATACGAATTACGAATTGAAAACGACACACGGGATCACGGGAAACAAATAAACTCGGGCTATTACGCGCAGTCTACGGAAGTCACGAACATACATTTTTTCTAGACTTGTTCTTGTTATAAATATGCCAGCACAATTTTTTTTCTGTTTATGTCTGTTTGTATAACAAAGGCAAATGAACTAACGCTTGAGAGGGATTGGGGATTGGGAGCAAAATTTAACTAATGTCGAATGTTCCATAAGATAAGCAAAAAAAGCAAAGGGTTGTTCGTCTGTTATGTTTTCGAGATCGAAAGGGAATGTTTCGAGTAATGTTTCAAACTCTC